TTATTTAGATACACCCTGTATACTTACCAATAAAGAAACCTTCAAAAACAGTTTCCATCATCAACTCTGGTTTCACATACGTAGGAAATTGGAGCCATCCTTTGGAATCAGTGAAGAATGGAATGTAGTGTGAAAGTAGGTAATAATAGTCAATTGTTTTTCAAATCGTTCGTCACCTACCTATGACGTTGATGATCTTATTTCTCTTTGATTCGGATATTTCCTATTGTCTATAAGGTTAATAGAATTTTCCAACAAAAATACTCTACTTCCCATAGATAAAGCATTACTTATACATACAGGGTATGTCACGATCGAGGTCACGATTGAGCTTACACTATCTCTATATCGAGAATCAGTCGGGAGAAATCCATGAAAATATACGTGCTTATATTCCAAAACACGCTCTCTTCATTTGAAATATTTTCAGCAATGCAGTGTTGCCGCTTCTATCAAAAAGTAGCAACTACTTTGTTATTTCAAATAGAATACTCTGTATTTTATTGCATTTTTAGATTCTCCCTGAAGAGCTGATTAAATCGATTTATCATACTCGGGGTCTATCGGAAATTATTACAGAAATAAATCAACTTTTGATTTACTAAACTACGAAAATCATCCAATCTCAAAATGGCCCCACAGTATTCATAAATGAAAGAAAAGACTCCAAGTCGGTCGACCACACTTTATATCAAGAACAAAAATTATATTAGAAAGTGATGAGCCAGAGATGTAGGGATAGCGACATGTGAGCCGTTTTGACCGATATGATCAGTTTGAACACCCTATATCTGTAATAATTTTCGATAGACCCCAAGTATGATATATCGATGAAATTAGCTCTTCAGGAAGAATCTAAAAATGCGATAAAATACAGAGTGTTCGATTTGAAATATAAATCTAGTAGCAGCGGCAACACTGCATCGTCAAAACATTTTGAATTCTGAGATATAAGCATGCGCATTTTCATTCTCTGTTATCTTCGTTTGTGTTTCTCACGAGGTTTCTCATAAAGGACTTGATACTTGATATCTGTCATTGATAGTCAATTGCCTATTTTACTTATATACAGTATGATGCAAATGTATGGAATAAATTCATTATTTCAGAAATGGGCGACATTTGAAAAAATTCCAAAAACACGTGAGTTTTAATTTCTGAAGCCTCATCTCATGATATTCATATGAGACATGTTACGTCACCGGTGTTGGAGTAAAGACGTAATGACGATTTTTTCAAATACAAATAGGGGTAATGCTCGGGGTCATGTGACACCTCGATTGAAAGGTCTATCGATCGTCTATTCAACAGTCAAAATGTTGCATAAGAAGATTGAAATTAAAATGGATTATCATGTGATTAATTGAATCTTGCAGAGGTCTGCTACTGAGAATTGAAGATCAAAGGGTCGTCTAGTTAAAAAAATACGTCGAAAAAAAGTTTTAAACTCTAGTTTTTGTTTTTTTTTCGAAAGTCGTCTTGTTTTGAAATGAATTTATTCCATACATTTGCATCATACTGTATATGTTCTTTCGTTCTGAAACCTCAAAGATGCACTATTTCCTGGGTTATTTTATTTCAGCACTTCATGCTTGAATGCAACGGATATTCTTGGAAGTATATCTAGTTATAATCGTGTTGAAAGATAACCAAAACATGGAAGAACAACGAGAATAAAAGCGATAATATGTTTTCCGACTTATCGGAAAACACTTCAAAGTTTGAAATGATCCCTGCTATTTTCATCTATATTCTACTTATTGGTAATCTATCTAAACAATGCAATTAAAAGCAACATCATTGATAAGAGTTTTCTGAACTACGGCGTATATATTGTTCATTTTATCGTTAAACCACGAATTTTCATGAATCTATCTGTATATTAAGCCCATATTGCACAAATCAAGTTATCGCAATATATAGGTACCACGACATTTGTTGAAATAAAAAACAGAAACAATAAAATGTCAAGGTGAAATCAGAACCATATATAGGCCAGTCAAATTCTCAAAATTTTGTCCGATAATTATTTTTTAATCACTGTTCGTGACATAAATTGAATGATTTCGACACATCACATGCATTTTATTAATCTTATTCACTTGAAACATCTAACATAGTTGTAGCTATTAGTAATCAAAAGATTACATCCTTGATTACCTCATCTCATGTTCGAAAGATGACTGGAAATATACTCTATTCTATAATAACCTCGATAAACAGGATGTCCCAGAATAACGTTCGTATTCTCCGGGAAAGTAATTTTACAGATACAAACGAGGATACAAATGATAAAAAATGTTCTCATCAAAATGTATCAAAGATTGCCTCCTCAGGGCCCTTTGAAGGTATATAAGTCCCTAAATGCAGTTATCTCCAATAATTATGTTTATTTCCAGTAATCCTAGAGAATTACAGAATTTGATACTTAAGGGTAATTTGATTTCACAAAACGTTTCGTGGCATAGAAAAATACTTATTTATACACCAAAGTAGTAAATAATATCAGTTTTACCCGGTATTACCCAGGGACCAAGATGATAAGGTCTCGTGGTGATGATATTCTTTACTACCAAAGTGTATATTACATTTTATTCACCACTAGCAAATACATAATCATTTTAGTTCTGTGAAACTGAAATATGAACCTATTGTCACTATGAAAGCACTTATTATCAATTCTAATTAAAATATAGTAGATAGCCATGTCCATGACATCATATGACAAGTCGTTATAGACATATACCTACTAGATTCGAGGGCAATCAATGCGAATCTCGCATCAGAACAGTGAATTCGGGTTAATTAAAACAGAGGTGGCTATGTTTTTATTAACTAGTGGTTAATAAAATGACGAAAGCTACTTTGGTAGTAAAAATCACTACGCCCCAAAAAGGAGTAAATAATGGTGGGTTTTATACCTAGTGGTGGAAAATATTTGGCTTATTTTTAGGAACTAGCACAACATAAGCCATCAATAGTATATCCTGGAAAAGAGTACTTACTCACTTTTATCCCGTGGGGAAAAGAAATTTATGAAAAGTGGCATTTTATAACCTGTCAACAGAGATGAAATGTCAAACTTTTTTCCCGTTACAGAAAAAAAGTATAGTATACATAGCGCGAAGCGAAACTCAATTCATCCAATTTCGAGTGCCAGAATATGATTCTTCTAACACATAAAAAAGGTATCTACTGCTATTCTCGCTGCTATCAGAAGGCTGTGAAACGATCCGTTTTCGAGAAAAGTATGAAGTTTCCTTTGAAGTAACTGCAGGGGCGGTACAAGATTCTGCAATTGTTTGTGAATAAACCATACCTCAATATTCCAATACTAAAAATAAACATGTTGATGGTAATGTTTTTTAATTTTCATCTGTAGAGTTATTACGAGAGTTATTACTTCACGGAGTATACGAACGCTATTCTAAGGTACCCTATATTATCATCTCGCCAAATACAAATTGTGGTACGACCGAGGGTACGACTAATGATCGGATATTTTTTAAATCATTTTGGTATGGTCTCGGGTATGGTCAAAGCGTCAGAGGTGCGCCAATGAACGATTGAAACTGGCAGCACATATAAAAAAAACATTCATACAAAACAATTCGTTTTTGAGATAGGCACAGGATGATGAGGTTGGAAGGATAAAACTGTCTATTGTCTCGCCTGATTGCTAGCCTCGGCAAAGGCCTCGGCTATCAATTTGCAGACTCGACTTTAATAGACAGTTTTTCGTTCTTGGTTGTACATGAATAACTATTTCATCGAAAACGAAGCAACATTAGTATCTTTTGCACTTTTTTCATGAAATTTGACAAAATATCACCCCCTCAATTTTTTCTCACTTGTCTAGAAACATCATGTATTCTTATCGGATAAATGAATACAAAAACCGAGACAAAAACAATGTTTCTGGATATTATTTCATGAGAAAATATGTGATTGTTGAGCAGCGCATTTCTTTTTCATTTTTTGGAGCACACGAAAGGATTTTTTTTGTTTATTCCTCTTATTATATTAGACACGATATAAAAACTATATTTCTAACACGATCTAGCATCACTTATTCAACGAGTAGTGAAACTAGTAATAACTTGTACCACAGAGTTATTTTAACGGCCTTTGGTGAAAAGCGAGGTGAAAAGTATGAAATCTCGAGGTTTATCCCGAGGTTCATTATCTTGAAATTGAGTACCTATACCCTCGTGATAACAATCCCGAGAACAATCCAGTATTGTCCTTTCATCTCAATCGTTGATGCATTCAGCTTTCAAAGTGCCAATATACAGGGTGTCTGTAAAAGGTTGGGACATGGCTCGGCTGTGGACTCCTGGGATAAAAACAAGTCGATTTAGGCCAACTTACCTATATCCAAAATCGTCTCGTTTAGTTGGTACAAGGCGTTGAAGTTTTTTTGGAAAAAAATAATTTTACCCATAAAAAGCGAGATAAAAAGAGTAGGCTGAGATCGATTTCCATAATTTTTGGCATGGCATGTTCTGTGACTGTGAGTCACGTTTTGAGATGTTCTTGATCATCATCAGTAACCTGCAAGTGATTCAAACAACCATGTTGCCGTACCAATTTGGTGATAACTTTTCAGAGGTCAGACTGGAAACTTCCAGTTTTATTTTTCCAGAAAGATATTCCCTTCAGAAATATTATCTTTTTATGAGCAACATTTTTTTTTTCAAAAAAACTTTAACGCCTTGTACCAACTCAACGAGACGATTTTCGATATAGGTAAGTTGGCCTAAATCAACTTGTTTTCATCCCAGGAGTCCACATTCGAGCCATGTCCAAACCTTTTACAGACACCCTGTATTTTCTATTCATATTCGAACTTTCATCAATCATAAAACCACGTGGTAGGCGTAGAATCGCAACAACAAAGATACCCTCATTATCATGCACACGATTTCCATTCACCGCACTCATCATCACCATAATTTGACCGGCCTAATGTGCACCGAACCGCAAACCCGCTCTCTTACCGTTCGCCTCCCCTTCCGCCCCTCCCTCCTTCTGCTCCTCCTGCCAGTTCGTGTGCCTGACGATGACGTCATTGTCCGGCACCAAGGTGGTCGTATCCGACGTCACGACACTCACCTGTTGATACTCGCCCGCACTAACCGCACTGGCCGTAGGCTCCTGCGTTATCATCACGAGACTAGTGTACCGCGCTCCATGGCGCGAAAGCGACTCTCTGCCATCGAGTAACGCGCAGTCGTCTCTGTCGTCACACGCACCTGTGTGCCGTTCCGATTCCCCCTCCTCTAGATCGCGGCGTTCCGCTAGCGGACGCGGTACCGTTTCCCCCACCACTAGCTCGTTCCGCGGCGATTCCGATAAAGCACGTGGTTCCGCTTCGCTAGTCTCCCCGAGCGACTGCGCGCTGACGTCAGACAGTGCCGGACTGGAGGAAGCACTCTCGTTTACCGCGTCCTCGTCCAGGGGCTTGATGTTCTTGAGGACGACGGTGCAGTCCAGCTCGGTGTCTGTGTCCTCGTCGCTGCTGGAGCTGGAGCTGTTGTTCTTGTTCACCACGAAGACTCTGGAGAACCGTTTGGTTTTCTGATCAGCCACTGTGCCAGTGTCATCGGTGTCTGTTTCCGCGGAACCGGATGAGGACGTTTCGTCTCTCAAGGAGACGCTGTCGCTGACGTCGTCTTCGCTGGTCGGTAAGGCATCGTCGCTTTGCCTGCCTGCGTTGACGGTGTAAGCGCGGCTGACTATTCTTGGTTCCCAGTCACCTTGATCCAGTTGAATTTTATTTTTACTGGGAAGCTTATGGGGTACTGATTCCGAATCTGCGAGGTTGGTTGACAAAATTTCGTGACGCAACATTGAAGAAAATCCCAAAAAAAAGGTGTAAAATATGATTCTTTGTCGTTTTTTTTTGTTTATTTTAACTCGAAAACTATCAACTTTTCTCCAATAATCTTCCTATTCAAAGTGGAAGTGAATGAAATTTCCCACAAATCACTTTATCATAAGGTTGATATTTTTTTTTCAAATTTCTTCACAGGTACAATGATGGTCAGAGTGTCAAAAACTAGTAAAACAATCTGATAATAATTTATTTTCTACCGATTCGTTCAATGAAATCATTTCAAGCAAACCTCGGATTCGAATTCAAGACCCGGAAACTTTGTTGTGAAGATTATGTACTAATTTGATGTTCAGGAGGTTATTATATCGATTAGATTAGATTAGATTAGATTAGAAATCAGTTCCATAGAAAGAAAGTAATGAGAATATGTTGAAAAGGAATATTCTCAGATAAATTATGAACATACAAAAATGGATATATTATTTATATAAAGCAATACATTGAGAATTCGCATTCTCTATGTGATGAGAATATTTACTCTTTTTCAGTTAATTCAATAGAAAACAACTACTTTCCTGGCTATATTCTACGACGAACATTGAATTATATCAGTGAGTCTTCGAAAAAAAATTAAACGAACTTTTTGTAATATTCAAATAGAATCACCCTCTTGAATTTTTCACATACAGGATGCGCAAAAAAATTTGTAGGTGATTCAACATGAGAGAACATGATTTTTTTTATTTGTACCTGGATCCGACTACATAGCTCTCAATTCACAGGGTGAGGAGTGTGTCAAACATGTTTTATAAAATTATTCGAAGAGAATGAATCTTCATTCTTATTTTATGTCCATGAATATGGATCACACATTTATTTTCACCCGCCTTTGAAGGATTTTTTTGCACAAATTTATACAATCAATTGGTATTTATATTTTTCCACGAAAACGAAGCAAATTATCAAAACAATTCAAGAGACCAAAATGTTGTATTGTTAGTGGTTCAATAGGATATCAAGATATAAAATTCGGAAAAATCAATGGCGCACCTTTTATTGACAATAATATTCGGTAGGGTGTCCCCCGGGACGCCACTGGTTTTCGTGATTACAATTCAATTATGGCTGAATCAGCCCCTCATGACAAAAAATATCACTGCCAAATTTCGAGTAAATCGGTGGAAGGATATTGGAGCTATTCATAAAAAAACGATTTTTTTTAAAGTTCAACACACTGTTTGTTGAGAACTATGCATTTCCGGACCGACGTACATATGAAATATTCTTTTTACCAACTTTGACTGAGATTAACCAAGCTTCTCAGTGCAGCTCAATAGCTTGTTGTATTACATGTATCATTCATCCACAGGCATTGTCTTTTGAATACTCACTAAAATATTATTTCTATGCTCCTCATTAATTTTCTCAGACATTTTACATTTTGGTTGAATTATATTGGGTTATGTTCTCTTCCCTTGCCCTTCCTGACAGATAACAACGTTCTTTTTATTCAATCGACAACTCAGATCCGTCTCACCTCCTTCTAACTCACTTGATCTCAGTAGTGTACGAAAGCGTAGAAGGCTCACGTTACGTTTTTTTTAAATAGACAGTTGCAACTGTCTAAATAGACAGTTGTAACTGTCGATATAGACAGTTGTAACTGTCTAGATATACAGATGTCACTGTCTAAATAGACAGTTACAACTGTCTATGAAAATAGACAGTTGAAACTTTCTAAATAGACAGTTGTAACTGTCTAAATAGACAGTTGTAACCTGTCTAATTAGACAGTTGTAACTGTCTAATTAGACAGTTGTAACTGTCTAAATAGACAGTTGTAACTGTCTAAATAGACACTTGCAACTGTCTGAATAGATATCGTAATTCGTACTGTCCTGTCCTGTCCACTGACTAGTGACTACTGACTCCCCTGTCCTCTGTCCCACCTTCAATAACAGTACAACATAGGAAAAATAAAAACACGTGCCAATAACTAATTAACTAATACGAGCTGTGTGTTGATGATGATTTAATTAGATATTATTTCTGTTTGGGTTTCCAACAAACTGAAATTTTATCCAGTTCGGCTCTCAATCATGATATCATCATTAGTTTAAGCACTGGCACTCTCAAACGAAAATTACACAAATTGGGATTGTTCAGAAGGAAGAATTTTACGGACATTCTAGAAATTCAACAATTCATTACAAATAATACAAAAACTGATGGACAATTACATGGATACCGATGGATGCACCTTGAATGCCTTCAGAATGATTTACATCGATGCTTCCATCACCCGTGATTCCAATAAAATGGTTATCCACATATCCAGATTATTCCAAATGCTTTTTTTTTTAAATAGACAGTTGCAAGTGTCTATTTAGACAGTTACCAAGAAAGTGTTTGGGATCACACGTTAAAAGGTAAGGCTCGCACAAGACTCTCGAAGACTTCTGAGGGTTGCTCGTAAGAGGGCAACCGAATGACGGATAGAACAAAGTTTTAGGTATCACTGAATTCACTGTCTATTTAGACAGTTACAACTGTCTATTTAGACAGTTGCAACTGTATATTTAAAAAAAGACGTAACGTGAGCCCTATACGCATTCGTAGTATGTAACAAGGTAAAGAGAATATTGCTATGATTACCTGCCGCGTCACTGGATTCGCTGGACGACGCACCAGCATTCTCGCACTCCAGATACCCGCTCAGCTCCCGTTCCGCCGCCGCTGCCTCCGCTTCGGGTACCGCGGGGTCGTTGACCGCTGCTCGAGCCTCTCGCTCCGGCATGGTACCGCTACCGCTCGCGCCGGTATTCTGACTGCGGCCGCCGCGCCAGATAAGGGCCAGGAACGGCCACAGGTGGTTGCGCGGAACGGTTCGCGCGGAACCCCACACGGGGAAGGGTACCGGCACCGGCACGGGTACCGGGATGAAGCGGGCCGGCGCGCCGCAGTGGCGGCACGCTGCGAGGGGTGACGGGGTTGGTTGGAGGTCGTGGGAGCATCGGAGGGCGGGTTCCGGGGGTTGGAGGGCGGGAGGGGGGAGGTAGAGGCTGTCGGAGGAGGCGGGGGAGCCGGTGTCGAGGCGGGGGTTGTCGTCGTCGGTGCCTGTGTCGGATTCGCGCAGGCGTCTGGAAAGAGAGTGGCGGTTTTTGGGTGTTGGTGGGTTTCGTGAGGTATGGATTCCGTCGAAGGAATTTAACAATTTTGAGGCATTGTATTGTGATATGAAATTCAGTCCAGACTTGAGACGTGTAAACACGTCAAAAATAAGGTAATGATACCTCCATTCTCTTAAAATCCGATTCCTGGGCACATCTGCAGGGTGATGCTGAGAAGGATTTTGACAATATAAAATAACGCTCACAGTAAATTTCGAAAAAACGCATTATATCATAACAACCTACCCAACCTGGGACTACTAGAGATAGAACAAAATATCTAGGCATAACAATTGATATAAATAGGCACTTGAAGTGGAACATTTACATAAGCAATGTAACAAGAAAGATGAGAGTATCAAACAATTGGAAATCCTTTATTTTTCTCTAATTCAGTTGCGAATGATATATAGGCTAACTGGGTGGGGAGGAGCAAACCAATTATATTTCAAAGTTCTGACAAATACTCACAAATGGATACGGAAGGTGATTCATAACAGACATTACACTTACTCTACAGAATTGATTCACAAAGATAGTGAGATATTCAACTTGACTCAACTGTTTTGCTTGAGTCGGGGCTTGAGTATTCTGAAGAATTCATATACTACAGGACTGTTATATATGTTGAAAGATCACATAACTACCAAACAATAAGAGAAATAAATAACTGTCCTCAATCGAGATATAATAAAACCATTGGTCAAAAATGCTACGAATATCTCGCCCCTCGAATAATCAGTTTACTACCACCTGAAATTCAAAACCTACAAAACTTTCACTCATTCAAAAGAAAATTCAAGTAATGGCTATTCGATTATAGTATGGAAAGCTTGAGGCAAGTATTTAGTCCGCCTGTGTGAGTCATTATAGGTACCTACCCAGCGAGCACAAACATCCCTGGGATGTTTTGGGATGTTTTGAAAATGTTGGCATGAAGATGTTATTTTGAGACGTAATATGCACTGACCAAAGAGGTCTTTGAAGGATATTGAAGTATTGTTTTTGTTCTTCTGTGCCCTTTCTTTGTTTGCCCCACCACAACGTCTCATGCTTACGTCACAATACGATGAATTCTGATTTGTTTTCGATTTTGTTCTTCTTGTTCGCAATTGGCATTCGCGTTTGCAGCGTGTCACGCTTACATCACGCTGCTAACGAACAGAAAGGAATTTGGTGAAGTTTATTGTGTTAGAAGACTTATTTAGTTTGTAATAATGACCATCAGATGCAAGATGTGTTGTTCGGTGCCTCAGTGTAATCAATATTTGAAAGTACGAATTCATCAATACACAGCTTCTCCGCAATTGCAAAATTATGCATTGTGGAGAACATTTCAAAAATTGGGAAACCTACTCAGAAACCGATTAAGAAGGTAATTTCATATCAAGAAAATATTTTTATGTTCAATCTATTTTTAATGCATTTTTTCATTCAAGGGGAATGGAATCCTAATGCAAAAGTTCATTTTGACAAAAGGCTTCAGAAAAGTACCTCGAAAATGTTTTTTTTACAGCGATTTAATATGCGCAAGACGCGTTGAAAATGTTCTGTTGTGTCCATGAAAAGGCTTTAAAAAGAACTAGGGAGAAGGTAGTTTTGTGACATATCAAGAAGATCTCGATAATTGCCGCCTGTTTCGGACATTGGCTGTTCTATAATAGTTCTATTCATGTGTGAACAGAACATCGCAGTGTAGGTTCAATGTCTCGAAATCTCGTACTTTTAACATCTCTGAGATGTTTCTGTGCTCGCTGGGTATTATGTACCTATTATGTATTATCTTCTGAAGTACCCTTGATTATTAGCTCAATGGAAGTACCTAGTCCAAATACTCGAAGTGGAGTCTTTCTCACAAGTTTAATGGCGAAATGTGCAGTAAATTCTGCTTCATTACTTTCGATTGAGACATGCTTCATAGTATTAATAAAGTTGATGTGGAAGTGGCTATAACATCAATCATCATGAAGACGAAAAAATTGTATATTGAAGGTACATTATTGAATTAAAATTGGCATCTGGGAACGAGACAATCTGAGTGTAATATGATTGTGATATGACGATACTGTACCTAACATGTGTATTTTTGTAACTTTCGGGAGATATAGGAAAGTTTGGTAACAGTGAGTGTAACAATATTTTCATCGAAGGTACTTCACCCGATTGATTTTAGAAATGTCATGAGAAAATACGCATAAATCCGCTATCCCTTTTTCATACTTGTTATACAGTGTGTCCCACTTGCCATGCTCACCATGGGTATCTTTTTAACGGTGAGAGATACGAGGTCGGTTAAATGACACCAAATGTGGAGTTTGTCAAGGCCACTACAATGTGAAAAAATATTCTGATAAAATCTATTCGTTTTTGTTTTATACGCAAAAAACAGATTTTGATCATTTTCATGTCTCCTCCGTAACTTCTGTATTTATGGAAATATTTGAATAGGAATTTCACATTCTCATGGCAGTTTCTCAGAGTGATTTCGAAAAAAATATTAAATTTATACCAACTCTTCTAGAATTTGAGATATCAGCACCAACTTTAGTTTTTCAAATGTAGGTCATAGCTCACTATGACTTAGTTACAAATAACTTTTTTTTCTCTAATAGATGATATGTCGCATTGAATTATTAAATAAAAAAAATGGCTGCTCCAAGATGGCGGACAAGATTTGGTCCGATTCCATTCAAAATTGGTAAGTGGGGGTTTTTGAGGTCGGAGATCATGATTTTTTTATTAAAATTTATGGATTCAAGATAGCGGCTTCCAAATAATTTTTTGGTTCTGTATAAATGACGACAACTCCGTTGTTATCAACACAAAACTATTACTGCGACACATCTTCTGTAAAAGAAAAAAAAGTTATTTGTAACTAAGTCATAGTGAGCTACGACCTGAAAACTAAAGTTGCATGGTGCTGATATCTGAAATTTTAGTAGAGTTGGTATAAATTTCATATTTTTTTCGAAATCACTTTGCAAAACTGCCATGAGAATGTGAAATTCCTATTTGAATATTTTCATAAATAAAGAAGTTACGAAGGAGACATGAAAATGATCAAAATCTGTTTTTTGCGTATAAAACAAAAACGAGTAGATTTTATCAAAATATTTTTCCACATTATAGTTGGCCTTGACAAACTCCACATTTGGTGTCATTTAACCGACCTCGTATCTCTCACCGTTAAAAAGATACCCATGGTGAGCATGGTAAGTGGGACACACTGTATAAAGTTTCGAAATTTACTTCATGAACAAGAATGATTTTCATTCAATTTCCATTACAGGATGGTTCAAGTTTCAGAATTCTCATCACCCTGTATCTGTTCCGATTAAATATCAGTAAATGGTGAATCAAAAGTTGAGATAGGGACGTGTGAACCGTTTGGGCCGATGATGAATAGTTTCGACACAAACAAATCCTAAAGTTTAAAAATCTCGATTTTGAACACCCTATATATCTGTAATCATATCCGATAGACCTCAAGTATGATACATGGATGAAATCAGCTCTCTTAGGAGAACCTAAAACGTCAATAAAATACAATGTATTGTTTTCGAAATAACAAAGTTGTTGCTACTTTTTGGTAGAAGCGGCACCACTGCATTGCTGAAGATTCCTCTTGACTGATTCTCGATATACAGATAGTGTAAGCTCGTCATGACATACCCTGTATATCTTTCTACGTATGTAATCGCTCATTTTTAGGAAATGGAGCAACATAGTATTTTTTTCCAATGAAAAATGTCATATATAGTATAATTTTGATGGGCTATAAGAAATCTGAAGCGAACTGGATAGAAAAATACAGGGTGTTTCATTTGAAAAAAATATCTTTGCTGCATTTTCTGGCAGGAATAATTTTCCTATAGAGAAACGATTCATGCGCGATTCAACTCGATCCGCAATACGTCACACGCTTTCTATATAGGGAGATTAATGTTGCCACACGTGTACAGGGTGGCCCACGGTCGATGGTACCTTAGACGTATACGGAAAACGGTACATTGGATTATCCTGAAAACTTGGTTACTCTAATAAGCGTTTGTGATCTAACGATTCAAAATATTTCCAGCGATGCAGCGTTGCCACTTTTACCAAAAAGTAGCATCATCTTTGTTATTTCAAATGGAACACCCTGTATTTCATTGCGTTTTTAGATTCTTCTCGAAGAGCTGATTTCATCAATGCATCACACTTGGGGTCTAGCAGGAATTATTACAGAGATATAGGGTGTTCAAAATCGAGATTTTTGAATTTCAGGAATTTTTTGTGTTGAAACTATTGATTATCGATCAAAACGGCTTACATGTCCCTATCTTAACTTTTGATTCACTATCTATGGACATTTAATTGGAACAGATACAGGGTGATCAAAATTCTGAATCTTGGACCATCCTGTATTTTCTCCAATTAAATGTCGGTAGATAGTTAATCAAAAGTTAATATAGGGACATGTAAGCCGTTTTGACCAATGATGAATAGTTTCGACACAAAAAAATCCTAAAATTGAAAAATCTCGATTTTGAACACCCTATATCTCTGTAATAATTCCTGCTAGACCCCAAGTGTGATGCATTGATGAAATCAGCTCTTCGAGAAGAATCTAAAAACGCAATGAAATACAGGGTGTTCCATTTGAAATAACAAACATGATGCTACTTTTTGGTAAAAGTGGCAACGCTGCTTCGCTGAAGATATTTTGAATCGTTAGATCACAAACGCTTATTAGAGTAACCAAATTTTCAGGATAATCCAATGTACCATTTTCCGTATACATCTAAGGTACCATCGACCGTGGGCCACCCTGCATAAGGCTCCGTTCTGATCCTGTCGATAAGTTGAAAATTCACCAAGATACGGAAGGTGCTCAAAAAGTGAGAATTTTCAAATTCGTCCTGTATCTCAAGAACAAAGTAAGGCAGTAATGTGAAAACCACAACACCCTATCTCCAAATATATCGGAGATATCGCTCAAAAGCGTCGAAAACTGAACACATTGTACAGGGCTAGTTTTAAGATTATTCTGAAAGTTGGTGCCTTATTGGATGATTAGTTCTGTTCTATCGACCTAAAATATTCTCAGTGTTGCGATGTTGCCGCTTATATTGAAAAGTAGCAACAAATTTGATTTTTTTAATAGGACACCCTGTATATTATTCCATTTTCAGATTCTCCCTAAAGGGCTGATTTTATTGACCTATAACACTTGGGACTAGCAGTAATAATAGGGTGTGAAAAATCGAGATTTTTCAACTTCAATTTCAACTATTCATAATAGATCAAAACGGTTTCCATCTCCCGATCTTCACTTTTTAAGTACTATTAATTGATATTCAATTGAAATAGATACAGGGTGATTAAAAACATTAATTCTCAAGCACCCTGTATTTATTACAATTGAATATCAATTGATAATGAATAAAATGTTGGGATAGGGATATGAAAACCATTTTGACCAAGTATGAATGGTTCCGATACAAAAAATTCCTTTCATCCTTTAACTCTGTATTTATTTCTGCTAGACCCCAATGTCAATAAAATCAGCTCTTCAGGAAAAATTTGGAAATGGAATAATATACAGGGTGTCCTATTGAAAAAATAAAATTTGTTGCTACTTTTCAATATAAGCGGCAACATCGCAACACTGAGAATATTTTAGGTCGATAGAACAGAACTAATAATAATAAGGCACCAACTTTTCAGAATAATCTTGAGTTGCGTTATTCAGAAACGTCTAATGTGTCATCTACCGTGAATCAACCTGTATACAATTTTTCGTACAGATTTCACTCATATTGACAACGATGCAATATCTCTTCAAATACACAGAATATACAGAAAAATATAAATATAATAAATGGAACGCGCCGTAAATTTTGATAGATTTGAAATCTTCAATTCATCCTAATTTCGAAACATAGGATATAAGGAATTCATATCAATCAATATAAACAGCGCAATCCATTTGAACAACTTTTTTGAACAGACGGAAAACAAAAAAAATAAATTCACAATAATGAAACTAGCTCTGCACAATAATAATTTCAAGTCGGCTTAGTACATTCTCCCACCAAAAAAATAACGCACCTTCGATAAACAATTGGCGACCCTATGGGCGACTCGATCACCGCCCGCCTGCCCACACCAGGCGACCCAATGGGCGAAGCCGCCCACCCTGCCAAGCTTTGGGCGCGCCCGGCCGCCCCTGGCTCGAAGTAGTCCCAATCGCCCTCGTCCAGCGGGAAGCTGGAGGCGGTGGAGGTGCTGTCGTCGTCCTCGTCCTCCTCCCGCGAGGAGGAAGTCTCTTCCCCCTTGGAGGAGGACGTGTCGTCCTTGGAGGAGCCATCCGAAGGGTTGATGAACACCAGCTTGTAATCCTCGCCGTCGGGCAAGAGGAGGTCGTCGTCCTGGCCTCTGCGCCAACCTGATTTGGGTCATATTGAGCGGGTTTAGGGGGAGTCTTGCGGGGGTTAGTGCTTCCATTCCCTCCACCGTGTTAGTTGTAATATTGTCTCTGTTTTAGTCCTCCGAATGTCGAAGTATCATTTCCGTCGACCTTGCCTTAACGAGTATGCTTAATATTCATGAAATTGATCGTTAATGATCCCTATTGTAGTATAGGCAACCAAACATACACAGTTTCCATTAACTGTTTGCAGTATAACCACTATGTTCGGTGGTATAACTTACTAAATTCACCTAACTTGCATTATAATCGAAATGATGGACTTCATAAAAGGTTTACATTACATATACAATTTGCGAATGACTTGCTGAGTCAGTGTAACTATTTGAGTATGGGTTCTACTATAAAATAAGGTGTTGTTCCTCGTCTTCCTCATGCGAGGAGAGAAGGTCTTTTCTCCTTTGGAGGAGGACGTGTCGTTTTTGGAGGAGCTATGCGAAGTGTTGATGAACGCCAGCTTGTGATCATCGCCGTCGGGCAAGAGGAGGTCGTCGTCCTGGCCTCTGGGCCAACCTGATTTGGGTCATATTGAGCGGGTTTAGGGGGAGTCTTGCGGAGGTTAGTGCTTCTATTTCCTCCACCGTGTTAGTTGGAATATTGTATTTGTTTTAGTCCTCCGAATGTTGCAATTATCATTTCCGTCAACCTTGTCTTATGAAATTGGTCGTTAATGATCCCTATTAGTGATTAGTTTGTCTATTGATGCATGATTGTTGTATAGGCAACCAAACATACACGCTTCCATTCACTGTTTGCAGTATAACTTACTAACTTGCATTCAAATCGAAATATTGGATTTCATCGAAGATTTTACTTTAACAGATTAGCCTTTCACGGTTTCTGGAACGATTTTAATTGCTGTTTTCTAACAAAACGAATTTATTTTCAATATTTTCCATGTTGGATTTCGACAAATTTCAAATGTCACTAATGTCAGTGACAAGTTCGTTTTGAATCGGCGTCTCGGAGTAGGAATGTAGAGGGTATAATAAAACTTTTGGAGGTTATAAGTTCTGGATATTCACTCTTTCTTTTTTAGTTTACTGGGGTGGTGATGATTTGTGGTGCTATAATCGGGATGTTGTTGGTAGACTTCTCGAATGCCTTGCAGAATCGGTGGAAACATTGAAGTATGGGTTCTACTTTTGTTAAACTATAAAGTAAGGTGTTGTTTATTGAGGAGAAGGTTTTATCTCCCTTGGAGAAAAAAGTGTCGTCCTTGGAGGAGCCATCCGAAGCGTTGATGAACACCAGCTTGTAGTCCTCGCCGTCGGAAAGGAGGAGGTCGTCGTCTTGGCCTCTGCGCTAACCTGATTTGTGTCATATTGAGCGGGTTTAGGGGGAGTATTGCGTGGGCTTCGATGCCCTCCAACATGTTAGTTGTAATATTGCTTGTGTTTGAGTCCTTCGAATGTTGGAATCATAATTTTCATGAGCTCTTCGTCCAATTCATCAATTATTCAGCAACGAAAAAGCCAAAATGCTGATAGTGGAATGATATGTTGAATAAATATATAACTTTGGGCTATGCATATTTATTCAACATTTTATTTCACTTTGAACAGGTCGGGCAATCAGCCACCCCTATCTATCTATCTACCTATCTATCTATTCGAATCGTTGCATAGATTTCGGGAGGATGTGATGTTCTGCGTAGAAGAGTTCAAGATATAGTCAAAAATTGCCATTTGGTCGATTTCGAAAAAAAATTATCACTTTTTGAGAGAGAGAAAGAATCTTTATTGGAGAATTGCCAAAAAGTCTATCGAGCGAAGTCTTTCAGCCAATTCACAAACATGATCATTCTGATTTCGAAATATACCGAATGAATATGATTGAATGTAGATGTTGTAATCCTAGGTAGATGGTCGGAAATGATTTGTGGTGTTATGATATCGGGATTAATTGGTAGATTTTGCAATTGTCTTGCTGAGTTGGTGGAAACATTGAAGAATGGGTTATACTTTTGTTGCTATAAAGTGAGATGTTGGTCCATGTCCTCCTCCCGGAAGTAGGAGGTCTCCTCACCCTTGGAGGAGGACGTGTCTTGGAGGAGCCATCTGAGGCGTTAATGAACACCATCTTGTAGTCCTCGCCGTCGGGCAGGAAGAGGTCGTCGTCTTGGCCTCTAGGTCAACCTGATTTGAGTCATATTGAGCGGGTTTAGGGGGCGTAATGCAGGATAAGTGCCCTCCACCTTGTTAATAGTAATGATGTCTCTGTTGTCAGATTTATATCGATGTATTCGGCCTATTTATGAATGGATAATTTCCATAGTTCCTTTACAGCTAGTGAAAACCGAACCTATAGGTCCAGAGCTTAAACTTGAGCCGAAACTAGTCAGAAACTTGATTTGTTATAATAATTTTTGTGGTCGACCGACTTTGTGATCATAATATGGTGTTTTATTTTTGGTGGTTACAAATGTTAGATTCCGTTTTATCGCTGGAAAACTTGAGGCAAACTGTTGTCCCTGTCATAAAGACAAAAGCACAGAGCTTATGGGATTTTTTCTACATGAATTAAATTGCCGAAGCAAAAAAATAAAGAATGAAGCCGATCCTGGTGATTCTAAACGAGGTGACTTTTTGCATATGGACATTCAAGAGCATGGGAAACTGCTATGAAGTTTTCCTGCAAAAAAGAATCGAGTTCGTATTTGGCTTCTGTCTTGGCTTTTGTATTGGTAAAGCAAGTTTGATAATTTTTCGTGAAGAAAACATTTCACTATACAATATATAATACCGGAGATATCCTGAAAATGATCAATAATGATTGGCTCTAGAGAGCAAGACTGGATGGAGTACAAGTATAGTCACTAGTCAATGAAGTATAAGCGCTGCATTGAGAACTCACCTGTATGTCGCAATATGTGTGTATTATATAACAGCTGCATAATAATTGAACATAACATCATCATTCGATACGGGAAATGGATACAATAATTCATCAAAGGATAAAGGGTAGGCAGGCATTGTATTCTCAATTAGAAATATCGCAATGTTCGAATGAAGATGACTCATTATGTTTCATACTACCTACGTCGTATATTATTTCAATGACCCACTGAAAAATATATCATAACCTTTTTCTACAACCGATCAACAATGTAATCTTTCTTTGGCGTTGCCAAATCTCAAAACATGGTGGTGATGGTTTCCGATGTTTTTATAGCACAAAAAAAGATCATTCGTTGCATAGCACGAGATTTTAACATTGCCATCTCTATACATTTTTGAGGCATGCTTATACGTCTTCCAAAATAAAAACTCATTCACTCTCAATGATGGGATACACAATCACAATACAAGAAATAAAAAAGATGTACATTTTAAATCAGTGAAATTAATGTTAAGCTATCACTCTTCAAAATGTATGGACCCTAGATTATTCACTAAGCTTCCATCCAACATCAAATCTAGTAATAATAGTCATGTATTCAAGATATTATTGGAACAGTTTCTATTAGAAAAATGTTAATATTCGGTATTTGATTATCTCAATGAAAAGATCTGATTTTTATTCAACTCGGACCGCACCTGCATTATCTTACTATTCTTTCACTATATTTTACTAAAAAATGTATATATGAAGGAAATTCGAAACTCTTCTAACGAATGTTTTTGTTGCATTTTATCAATTGTATACCTTCATTGTATATTGTATACCTCTATCGCATACCTCTATTGTATACCTCTGTGGTGATAATAATGTTCACCCTATATTTGTCTATTCATGTCAAATAGAGAATTTGACATAAATTTATTAATTAAGATATTTCAAAAAGTATTGTCATAAAATAATCGATAATAAATATACGAAATATCCACATTGGTGACCCCGACGATTGAAACAACCTTGAGAAATGGCAATTCTACTGAATAATCTTACCAAAGATCAGATTGTAAAGTTACTTCAGCACTTTGGTATTAGTACTAGAGGAACAGTTGGTGATATGAGGCTCATTTTAGAGGGAGAAATCATCAAACAATTTGGAGATACCAACCCTGCTGATTTTGATTTCTCAGTAGTCCTCGAAGCTATTGATTCTACTGAAGAAACAACATCAGAAACAAGAAACGATGTAGATTTTGACAGCAAAATCAAAAATTTGGAGTATTTGTGTACCCGATTGATGGAAAAGCTGGACCAAAACGATAAAAAATTTGAAAAGATACATGATATCCTCAAATTGAGGAGTATACCAGTCGAATCTTTAGAAAAAAACCCAACACAATCGCAACCTCCAGCTCCTAGCAATGCAATGCCGAATATAGCAAATAGTGAGAAAGAAATAAGTCAATCCAAGTCAATTATTTTACCAGCATTCTGGAAACATGAACCAGAACTGTGGTTCAGTGCTGTTGAAACAATTTTTGATCTGTCTGGAATAACCTCTGAAAAAGTTAAATTTGGGAGAGTTCTATCTGTATTAGATTGCACTATAGCCAAAGAAAATTCCAATCTCTTTCGAATTCCATCAGATAGATCAGATTCCTACGCAATACTAAAGTGATGTGGTGATAATAATGTTCACCCTATATTTGTCTATTCATGTCAAATAGGGAATTTGACATAAATTTATTAATTAAGATATTTCAAAAAGTATTGTCATAAAATAATCGATAATAAATATACGAAATATCCACACCTCTATTGCTTGTTAGTTTTAGTGTTAAACTAAACACAAAATTGACGTTCACCATGAAATGTCATTATTTGACAGCACTAAAGCAGTTCTGCTAGCGTTGAGAGAGAAAGAAAATGTCTTCCCCATCTGTTCTTGTCTTCAGTGTTCCAACGTAAAATAATGGAAATTTTATGTTGGTAACATCGGAAATGGCAAAAAATTGAGAAGGAGATAATATTCAACCTCAATATAAAAAAGGCTACAATGGTCTTCTTCTCCATTTCTTCTCAATTCCAGTGTTGCCAACATAAAATGTCCATTATGTTAT